ATGTGCCACGGCAGTCAAGATGGCCTCATCTAATAGCAGGGCCTCAAATCGGGGCAAAGCCCCGAAGCCCCCTTGTGTACTTAAATGGAACTCTCAGGGACTCGCGGGAAAAGTGAGTGAACTGAACTAACGTGTTTTAACTGTAGAGAAACCAGTAGCCCTGCTGCTCCAGGAGGTAGGGGAAGTAGAAAAAAATTGCGAGGTGTGACGTATTGATGACTCCGACCATACGGAACAAGAAGCGGGGAAGAACGCGCAGACGGTCTGATATGCCGAACGTGCCGGTAGCTAAAGGACAAGCAGCAGTGTTCGTAGATGATAACCTACCGCAAAACCAGATCGACATGTCGCAATGGTGCAACGAATATCACAAAATTGTGGCAGTGCTGGTGAAAATCGGTGCTCGTTGGTTTGTGGTGGTGTCGGTTTATGAGCGCCGGGGATATAACGTGCGCGGCGACGCGATCGTTTGCACCCCACAACTGAAACTCGCGGTGGGCAAGGTGCCAATTATTGTTAGCGGGAACTTCAACGTGACGCACACCATGTGGGGGTACTCCCGTGACTCACCCAAAGGCGAGGAAATAGGTGAGACAATGACTCTGAACTGCTTTAGACTCGCGAACAACGTAGATGTGCCGACGCAAATAGCTATGCACGCGAAGCAGAAGGACACCACACCCGACCTCACCTGGGACTCGGAACATCGAAATCGAGAGGCAACTTTCGAAAGACTGTGTGGGCAGTGACTATCTACCAATCACCGTGAGACGGACCCGTTTCTAAACCGGTGCAAAGGAGCGGGTACACAAACGAGTGAAATGGGTCAAATTCAGGGAAGCTTTAACGTAAGGGCTGACTGACCGAGAGCGGGTTCAGAGAAATACTAAAGGCAGCCATCAAGGAAGCCAAACAAGACACAAAGGTCAAGGAAGGCTACACCACACCGGATTCACACCTTTTCAACCTATGGGCCTCCCGAATTGAAGCCGTAGAAAAATATAAGAATGAAGAAAAACCACCAGCACTGAGGGCAAAGCTCAATCTGGCGACGGCGACAGCGAAAGGTTACACCAACCAACTTGCTAGGCAGCAATGGCAAGACCCCTGTGAGTGATTCAACGGTAACACGGGCCTTGACAAGATGTGTAGGACGTTCCAAGCTATGCAAGGTAGAAAAAAGAGCAGGACTGCAGCACAAAACATCGCGCTGGCACTTTGAGTTTCAGACGACCAAGTGGCAGCTGAAGCCTGACAACTCTTCTTCCCACAACCCGCAACACCCGCCCCACAAGAGGATTACAAGCGTCAGGACTATGCACTAGGGGATCCTGCCATAGCTTCCTTTACTATGGGAGCGCTAATGTCGGCTTTAAGGCGGTGCAAAACCAACAGCACACCACGCCCAGACGGCATTACCTATGCTCTCCTTAGGAACCTGCAGACGAACATTCAGAGGAGCTCCTAACAATAATCAATCAAATCTTAACCATAGGGCAAGTCATAGAAGAGTGGAAGACGTCCTGGGTCATCGCGATCTTTAAACCAGGCAAGCCCACAACAACGCTTGCTAACATGAGACCCATTTTGCTCACCTCGAATGTATGCAAGCTCAGAGAAAGAATGGCATTATACAGAATTCAGCACATTCTAGAGAACAATGACACATTCCACTACACCCATACAGGCTTCCGAAGACACCTAGGGGCTGAGGATAATCTTTTGATGATCTACACAAATGTGCTGGAAACAGCCTCCGAGGTTGATCCACGCATCGTTGTAGCAGTGGACGTCAAAAAAGCGTTTGACTCCGGACCACACATGGCAATCATCGACAGCGCAGTCGCCCATAATGTCCAAGGAGCACCACTCAACTTCATCAACTCCTTCTTGGAGGAATGGAAATCTACAGTCAAAGTGGGAAACACGTCAAGTCCAGAAACACCTAATGGGGTCGGAGTCCCTCAAGGTGCAGTCCTTTCCCCTACGTTGTTCAACCTAGTCATGGCCGACCTTTTACCTCGCCTGGCCCGGATCCAAGACCTCTACTTCACTATCTATGCAGATGATATCACAACCTGGAACAAAGCCGGAGCGGTCGAAAGACAAGAAGAGGTACTGCAGTAGGCACTAGACACCATCGTAGAGTTTCTGGATTTCGTAGGCATGTCTGCAGCACCAAATAAGACCTTATACATAGTGGTGGGCAATCGACGCATTGAATATCAAACAGAAACACAGAACATACCCTTGACCATGAAGAGAGTTGAGATACAGAGAGTTGAAAGTTTGAGGATTCTCGGACTATCCCTTGATCAAGATGGGAGGCCCATACCTGGATAAAGAGGGTAACGAAAACCTGGAAGAGCACGCTGCACTTGATCAGAAGAGTGGCCATGAAGAAATGGGTAGCCACAGAAAGGGAAACACATACCCTAACCCTGGCGCTTCTGACTTCGAAAGAGCTCTATCCATACAATTATGATAGACCTACACAAACACAACGGCTAAAACTTGAAAGGCTCAACAGGGAAGCTATGAGAGCAATTACCGGACTTCAACGGTTTGCGAAAATAGAAGACCTGCACATACACTCTAAACTAAATACTCTCAAGGAGTGGGCAGACACCATCAAGGGCGCGCAACTGGACCGACTCAAAACCACAGAAGCGGGAAGAGCCATATTGCGACATATTGGTTACGAAACGAATCATCTTCCGACGCTCCCAAACTGAAGGCTCAAAAATACAACCATGCAGCTCACCTCCTTTGCCCCGCTGGCTCGCCACATGGGGAAGGACAACAAAAAGCGACGGTTTCAATGAGTTATGGACCACATAGTCTTTGTTCGAGAGTACAGCAGAGCTTTCACCAACCTGTGCGTATACACAGATGCTGCGCTGCGAGGAAACGGACTAGGAGCCATTGGATGGTTCATGTTAAACTCGCAGCCGACGTGCAGCCGAGTACTCAAGGGTGAATGTGGCATCAAGGAAGCCGAGCTACAAGCTGTACTGGCAGGAGCCACACAAGCGGCCACACACTGCAACAATAAAGAAGCCCCCTACAAACACTTGTGGGTATTCACAGACAGTAGGGAAGCACACGCAGAATGCGACAACGTCGACACCTATAGCAACACCGTCCGACAGCTGCGAGAATTAGGCCAACAAATAGCAGATGAAGAACGCGTCCTTCGAATTGTATGGGTGCCGGAACACTCCGGCATATATGGCAACGAAGAGGCCGACAATGCTGTCAGAACGGCGCTTGAAGCTGCGCCAGCGATACCAGACCTGGATCAACAGGAAGAAGGTCGAGGAGAAAATGATGTCCTCCCCTTCGACCCCGACGAGTTCCTGTCCCTGGGAAGGACGAGGAGGCGCAACACACTGACAGACCTGGTCCCTCAAGATCCGGACGGCGAACTACCAGACGAATACAGCCGGAGCGACCGCGTTATCCTGCGCCGGATCCGCACCAACACGGCAGTAACGCCAGCCCTGCAGGCTAAGCTGGACAGAGCTAGGCGAGTCCGACAACCCGATGACCCCGGGACGGCTATCACCTGTGACTGCCCTCAACGCGAGAGCAAGAGTCCAGCAACTATACTACATAGTCTCTGGGAGTGCAGAGCCACTGTACGCTCAAGGCGAGCCACCATCTACAACCTCTTCGCTTGCCATCGGCCCAAAAATTTCGTAGAGTTCACGCGACCAGGATACGACATACAGCGCGGAAAGATCATACTGGACTTTCTGCTAAGGTTTATTCGAGAAGCCGGTATGCGGCATTATTTTTAAACATTTCATCCTCATCGCATTCCCCATCTCTCACCCCTCAACTTCCCCACAAATGACGTAACGTCAAGGTTGTGGAAAAATCATTATATACGTCTTAAACAAACAAATTATATATAGTATTAAATGAAATATTTACACTGATAAAAATAATTTTTTTCGAAGTAGATTGAAAGGGATATATAGAGGTAAATCCCAATTAGAATTTTTCTAGTTCGCCATCGAAAACGTCTAGATCGGTATGCTTCGCTAAAAATACTGCAAGTGCAGCATTTTACGGCTTACCTAGAAACAATTTGATTATAGTATTTTAGAAGTTACAGTTTAATATTGATGCGGATCTTTAAGCCAAAGGAAATGCTCCCCGTCATGAAAGAACTCCAATAACGAGCAATCACGAATTTTAGGCATGCATGATGTGAGCTCAAGAACCAAGCTTTATCTTTCATGTCATGTGTAGTGTATATTTCCCTCTCTTCTGCGAGGAAGCCGAGTCGGTACTTCCGCGCTTAGGCTACGGGGAGCAGGTTTGCTGGCGCAAAGATAGGTTGTTATAAAAAAAAATTCTTTAAAAACGCCTCTTAACCACATAGCTCTCGGAGAGATTTAAGAATCCGAGTGTGTATTATATTATTGTAAGTTACGCCAATGCCGCATTTTTCGATGACGCCCAGAATTACGTTTTTACAGTGACTTTATACTGAGTATACGAAATGTATTTGCTGAAAAAAATCCAACTCACCGAATTACACCAAACGTTAGTATGTATATTACGTAGGCAACCTGACACAGAGTTATTAATATGTAATGAACCTTTTTTTTTCTACGATGGATGTTTTTAAAAGCGGCGTTCATTGTACGAGTTGCATAGGATTTGCAAAACAGTTTCAATTAACTTTCCGGAACACGTGGAAATATATCCTGTGAAGTAGTACTTATGGGCTTAACATCTTGTTTTTTTTTTCGTGTGATGATCTTTTAATGGTTCAGCATGTGAAGTTATGAAAGTTAAACAGATCAAAACTGCTTTCGCGTTATGTAAGAAGCGGAATAGGGCATCCCAATACATTCGCGGACTTTTAGGTCTTCCTGTATTAATCGCCTCAACACAGCCTTGCGACTCTGACCGATTGGCCAAACTGGAGTTTTTCAGCTTATGATATTTTTTTTTTGTGATCTCCCTGATTCTCCCTTTTACAGGTTAACGTGCTGTACACTGCGCTGCAAAACCCAAGGCCTCATTTTATTGTTGTAGGCATTGAAAAATTAAAGGTACGTAATATATTGTTATCATATTTGTCGACCACTTAACATACTTATTTTAAATTCCTTTTATTGTGTTTCAGAGTGAAGTGCACTTAAAAGTAACTCCTAGCAGACACTTGGAGGTTTGCGACACTGTACACTCCCTTAATCATTTTGTCGATGGATCATGGCGGAGTGATGCTCAGGATGTCGTTGCATTCGTCTCTGGGTAAGAAAATAAAACATAAAGGGATTACGTCAGCAATACTAGTATTACTTTCATGGCAAGTATTAACCTAACTTTCAACTTACATGTTTCAAGAACAAGCATAAACATTTTTATTTTTGCCAGTTTCTTTAGACTACCGATGTAGGAAATTGGAGATTTGAGAAAATCTGAGGGCTCGCGGTAGCATAATGTGGGTTTATTTTGTGTTACAAACTTTCTTCACTAAAATAATAGCGACAGTCATCCACAATGCCTTTTCTGATGTCGGATTTTGGCTGAGCAAATTGGGTCTGCATTTAAATAAAACTAGCGTTCTCTGTATATGTTCGGTTTGTTATATTCACCTGCCAGTTCTAGATATTGACGTAACCCCTAAGTGGATATCCTATCGTAAGGATTGTCTTGTTTCTCTGCTTTATCTCGCGATTCAGGTAACACCATGTTCTTAAACTTTTGCAGCATCATATCCAAGCAGTTTTCTAGAATTTTGAAAGGCGTACTTTTTTTTTGCTGGCCGAAGTGTGGGATGTGATTTTTCCCACAACATTGATATGCCATTTTTAAATCTACGGAAGCAGTACAGTCTCGCATTATTTACGACCATGAAATGGCGTGTGAATAAGTATAACAATAATCCTGTTCTTACGCCGTGGAAAGAAAGAAGAATGTTGCAGGAGAATTTCTTCAGTCAGCGAGGTATATGAAGGGACATTCTAATGCGCGTATCTTACGAGGCGTATGTCCCTCTAGATTTAGAAGAATCGTTTGTACGGTAATATTGAAGAAAATAAATTCGTTCATATGTTTATACCGCTTCCGGTTCCCCGCGAAATCGTAATGGACGTATGTTCTCTCAATATAGGGGTCATCTTGTCATCCGATTTCAGAACGCACAAAATACAAAACTCCAAGCGGGTGCTCAATACATGGTGCACGTTTTGTTTTTTGCGACTTTACTCATTGAGTGCAACATAATATTATATAATTTTCAGGGCTTAGCCCTTTCTGCATATTTTATTTACGACAGAAAATTGGGGTCTTGATAACAAAAATAAGTGAAGAATAGAAATATAATTTTCGATGGAAGAAAAGTCGTGTCCAAAAGTTTTTATCAGGCTTAAAAATACTTCGACATAATAAGGATTTATATGAATTTATAAGGAACCAGGTGGTTTACAACGTCGTGCATTGCAAAACGTAACCCAAGAGAACCCTCGGAAGTAATGTAATATGTCCAGTGTAGGCGCGCTTCACTTCGATATTCTGAGACAATATATTCACCCTTCCTTTTTGTTTACTGAACATTTTAGTAGTGGAACAATTTAGAGAAAGGAGAACACCAGCACCGGTCAGTTACTACCTTGGGGGTGGTGGGAAAAACCAAATTAACGCTATTATCAAAGGCAGTCAAATTCTGTGACCGCAAGCAAGATAACCAAGCAGGCTTGGTTAAAAACTTCGGACCTTCTTCAGTTTATCCACCATTGTCTTACGAGAACTCCACCAATTTGTTAAAGCACTATGCGAGCTAAACCTAATCACTCTGCTGTTCAATCATCCTCTCACTCTATCGGTAATTGTTTTCCTGAACGCTGGTATGCCTCATAATGCTATCAATACACAAATACACACGGTTACATTTTTTTCTTCTAAGTAACGTTTTCACTCGAAACTTAAACTGACACCAACGCTAATCGAATGCTCAGTGTTCGGGTAGTGGAACCCTTTCATAACTGATTACAAAATCTTTTTTATGCTCGAAATAAATGCTGCCACAACTAAGGTGGCCATTCGCTTAGCAGCACAGATGTACGCGACATGCTGTGCTGTATTGTGACTAATCGACGTGCAATGCTGCCTTCCTGTGGGATCGCGAAATTTTAAAACGGGTTGAAATTTGAATGTTAGTTTCGGCATCATCTTTATTCACCATTTTCTTATTGGCTCTTTCAAATTAAGCTAAATAAACTAATCTGCTGCTACGACTAAAGTCGGAAAGTTTAATAATTGGTGCCATTTCAGTGCTTTCAATGATTGTTGAAGTACCCGTTAAAATAGGCTACAGCAGTGGCTTGCGGATATACGAGTGGGTTAGGGCACACTTCATGGATCCAAATTTAGATAACAATGTAAAGCAAGCGCTGGTATTACATATTTAACTCCTCTTTCTTCCAGTTTTGATGCGAGTATACAAAGCTTGTGAGAGAAATAGCGGATTTTAGACTTACATACCAATCAACGCCTAGTCTAACTTTTTGTTTCCTACAAATGCACCTCTAGGTGTTAGAATCAGATGGCAAGTTTTTAAACCTTACCGTAAAAAAAAAAAATAATAATTTTTTAGGGTTTCAGAAAAGAAATTGCTTCGAACGGAATTTGCAAACTCAAAGACAGTAATCTCGTCTGCTACCAAAAACTGGACTGGCTATTTATTGTAAATTTCCAAATATCATGTACGTTTTCATATAAAATAACCGAGCGTTTTTAAACCTAGGGATTGGGTACCAATGGCAAGGTTTAAAATCTCTACATTTGCTGCCAACAAAAATGTTTGGATTCTTGGCCTCTCATATATATGGGCAAAAATAAGCGTTCGAAAATGCGTAGGTTATTTTTGGCCGTGACCTAAACATAACTTTATGTTCTTCAAAAGGTCCGGTTAAAACCACAGGTGTTCATGGGCGCGAATATCGATGCATGATTGATATTACCTTAGTTCTTTTAGAAAATTAGCAAACAACTCTAATATTAACCAGACACGTGTGATTATTATTTCAGAGCATGCTGTATTTCTGGTTTCTAAAAATGCGTACAACTAACCCACTCGCTCTCCATTTTTTCTCACCAGTCTACCATTTAGTAGGGAGAAAAAGCCGTCAATAGGTACGTTGGATCCTGCCAATTTGTATTTAAAAGAAAAACAATGGCTGTGTTTTTGTTTAGCACGCCCGCCCGGACGGGTGAGATGTCTAGAGTTGAAATCTTGAATCCGCCATTAATTTTGACTTGCGGCGGTTTTGTAAAATTTTGATACATTCGATCAAGTAAGGTTCATTCGTTTGCATAGTTTGCTTTATATATTTTTTTTTTCTATTTTATGTGCTAAAGACAGTACCATGTTTAACTTCAAATATAAGTTAATAAGCATGAGTATTAGCCACCCCTTTCTTAGCTATGGATGCCATATCATCCCCGCGGCGCATCCTTGAGCTCAACCGGCCTTGGCACAAAGTTGACGTTCGCGATTCTGAAAATATCGAAACATCTATACTGATAGCACGGTATTTGATATAAGAAGATCTATTTTCAGGATGCAGTATGGTCTGTGGTATGTGCACGAAAGAAAGAGTAACCGTTCAATCGGTTGAGGATTTAAGCGATGTAAAATCTGCACTACTTATAGCCCATGAATTGGGTCACCAGTAAGTACTTCCTTCTGAATGTCTCATCTTAACCCTACTAAAAAACATTTTGCTTTTGGAGTCGCTTAAATTACCCGTACCGTCGTTGCCATAATAATATCATATACGCTGTATATGACATGTATATATTAACACAAGGGAAGAAAGAGAACAGAAAAACTTTTACGTTATTAACTTGGTGTCAAACCTGGTTCTATTCCTGTTTTGTTTAGTGTCCGGTTCAATAGATTGTATTTTGTTCCCGTTTCGTTTCCCCGGAGTCAGGCATGCGAATCATTGGTTGGGTCACAGTTTCCACCATATGTCAACTGGTTCAAACACGGTCACATCTATGCCTTAGACTCGTGACGCCCATGCATTTTGGACGGTCATTGGCGAGGATTGTGGTACTTTCAGCACACCAAAATAGAACTTTATTATTGGAAATATTACAAAATTGCAAATCGAGAAACACGTGTATGTCCGGTTACTCAACATTGGCGAACTGCGTTACGTTACCGCGCGTATCACACACACAGTTAATGTGCTTGCAAGTGCTGGTTACATATTAGGAACGCAGCGTGTATATATATATATATATATATATATATATATGTATTATTGAGAACGACAATAACCACAGTAACGTTGCCAGACTACTTCGTGCTGAACAGAATATGTTGAATAAATTATTTAAAAAAAAATTGAAATATAAAAACATGTACGCTTAGAAAGGTTTTATTCATTCTTTTCTTACAAACACTTTCATCACAAGTAGAAATGAATATACTAATTTTAGGCGAAGAGTGAATTGTGAGTTTGATCATCTTAATTTTTTTCATTATCTTTATTCCATGAGATTGAATACCTTGCCTCCTTGTCAAACCACGAAGAAAAACAAGTAACGCTAAAGTTATAACCTGCGAAGCGGATGATCTAGTTAGATATTCGTACGGTTCAAAAACCTTATGAATTGCGTGTCTGTGTCTGAACAGAAGCACACAAGAAAACACCTGTAAGACTTAAAATTTATTTTTCAAATATGGCAACTAATAAGAACGCATATTTATTATGAACGTAAAATGAGCGGTTTCAAGTAAAAAAAAACGTTACCCCGCCTGAACTGAATGTGGCACTGATATCTTTGTCTTCGGCATCTGTAGCAAGGAAAATGTAAACATGCGCCTTTCTTCGAGTTACAGATATTGACGCTTTCATTCACGAACTTTGACAGCATCTAATAGTCAAAGTAATGAAGATTGTCGAGCTCCTGAAGGTTATACGACATTATTAAAAACGGCGCAAGAGGACGGTACTAAATTAGTAGGAGCAAAACAGAACAGACACAGGACAGCCCTTGTGTGCTCCTGCATTTTTCCTCTCCGTTTGCGATGTTTTTAATAATGTTGTTCAACAACAGAGTAGCCCAGCAATCCATCCTTTTAAAGATGATATGCAATACGCTATAGGCAGCGTGAGACGCCTACGATGTTGAGGAGTTGTCCCCAACAACTTCATATGCGTTATACTTTAGGGCATAGGTTAGCACATACTAAATGTGAAAATAAAAAAGACAAAATGCGTTATCGAAAAGCATAAAAAGTGGAAACGCAATTCTGAGTACGTGCTCATGGCAATCGTGACAGCATTCTTTAATTCTTCAACTTAGTCGCTAAAGAATGTAAATTATAAAAGCGTGCCGCTAAAAAAAAAAAAAGAAGCAAGGCATTACGGTTTTTTTTTATCCTGAGATAAAAACTGCTTTCGACCCGGCGTCCTCGGCTTTAAAATTTGAAAAGCCAAAATATATTAATCAAATCCCGGTTTTGAAAACGATCAAGATAGTACATCTGTGTCTTTTTTTTTTTTCCGTTCGGTGAACCCCATGTCTTATCACAAACGCAATAGTATGCCAAATACAGGTCATGGATGCCCTTAAAACCAGAATCCAAGTACAGCACACTCAAACGAGGCTTGAGCGCACCGCACTCTTAAATTGACCGCATAAAAGAACAAGCGAACCTAGTCGAACATAAAGAAGCGAAAAGCTGCACAAGCTTCACTTCAAATAAATATTTAAAAAAAAAATGTTTGGAGGTTGTAATTTTACAAACAAATTATATATATATATATATATATATATATATATATATATATATATATAACAAAAACGTTTTTAAAGAGCTTTTAAAAAAAACATTGCACTCCAGGGACTTCTATGAGCAATCGCTGCGGTCCAGCGCGGCGAACGTCTAGACTACGCAATAGCTCATCGCACCGATCATCTTCGAGGTCGTCTGTCTCTCACATCACATTTAATTGACTTCAATACCACATAGAAGCGTTCAAATCCATCGACAGTTACGAAAGTGCTCAACGGGTGATTCCTCTCCGGGAGCTCTGTCTCGACTACAGTATCGATATTGCTCCAGTTCGAGACAATTCCCCTCTCTGATAGGGTTTTCAAATCGGATGCCGGTCCGGTTTAGGATCCTGGTTCAAAGTACCGTACACAAAATTATCGTTTCAGTTGATGTGCTGTTCATGCCTTTGTTCCTGCATTTTTTTAACAACATACAGATTGGGAATGGAACACGAAGGAGATCGTGCAAGCTTTTACACTCCTGGAAATGCCCACCTTTCCTGCGACTCCCGTGCAGGATATGTGATGGCAGAGAGATTGAATACGGCAGGACGCTCTTTATTTTCTCACTGCGTCTATGACCAGATGAAGGGCTGCCTCATGTAAGATATTAAGATATATTGCTCGTAACTACATTTCTCCAAGGTAGTGGATACTTGTTGAACATCCCCTTATAAAATTACTGTGCTTAGAATCAATGCTGCTGTATTTTTGTAAATAATGTCGAAATAAAAAAAAAATCGAAAAAGGGAAATGGGCGAGCGTGGTTGAAAGGTTGTGATTATCCTAATCACATTGGCAGGTTAGATTTAGTCTGTCTGCAGTAGTATTTCTGATTGAAAGATTTGTATGCATACGTACATTTGAAAGCATTGAGAGTGCGCTATCATCCTCATCAGAGTTGTATTGTGTTTCCCAAAGAGCTTTAGGGGCCTTTTTTAGGGTTCCACTTTACATTATAAAATAACACTGAACTAAACAAACTACACGGCCCAATCCTAACCACAGTACTATTTTTGAACTTTTTAAAACTGTAAACTGTAAACTCATAACAATATGTGAAATTTAGACTTTTATTTTTTGGTAAGCATAGGAAAAATCTAGGATTTGCACCTTTATGACGTGAATTCCAATAAACCCCTTTCGAAACACCGCACTCCGTTGGGAGCTGGGGAATCTGTTCAATCGAGGACGAAAGCCGGAAAGGCACGGCACAGTTTGGTGTTGTGTTGCATTAAAGGCAAAAGCACACACACACACACAAAAAAAAAAGGGAGGAGCGCAGATACGTTGCACTTTCTACGGTGTTTAATTGGATCGTACGCTCCTAGGGTTGACGGCACTCCGTCGTTCGCTATCTTGGGCAATGGCTTGCACCTGCCACGATGTTAGTTGTTCCACCGTTGCACGGTGGTTCCAACCTTCTAAATATCGTCACGTGAATTTCGAAAGGGTCTATTGCATTTGTGCATTTGAATGTTTTTTTTTGTGGTAGACCTCAAGTGTAGGGCAATTGCATGCTTCGTAGCATTCGATGTTGTACTCCAAGGAAGTGAATGAAAGTAAAAGCTAAAAGGGGCGTTAAGTTTATTTTAAACATTATTTTCTAGCCTGAAAGAGGGCCATCGTTTTTGCTACGGACGAGCTTTTAGAATGATGTTGAGCCTTGGCTTGGCTTGGAAAAGCTTCATTCCTAGGAGTTTCAATATATTAACTCACTCATTAGGATTATTAACGTGTAAAGATGACCGAAAATATATATAGTTTAAAGCTTTAGAGAGAGCACCCCAAAAAATTTAAATGGCATTTAATATTTTCTGCAAGCAGCGAAGCACTTATGCAATTTTATCATGTTGGTGCGCAGGGAATTTCTGATTCCCTCAAGGCTACATGCTGTTTAAATCCTAGCTCATCTTGAGACAGACAGTGATGGAGCATTGCTTCATTTTAGGACGCGCCTTCCAAGTTGCATTGCCCTGTTGAACGTCGCGTTGCTGTCTGGTACAGTTTGATGGTCATTCGTTGCTGATATTGTTTTCCAAACCCGCTGCAGACACTACGGTATAGACTAACACAAATGACTAAGAAACAGGAGCGAACGAAACATAAAAATTGCCAAACAGCGCTTAAAATTGTAGTTGTTGCAGTGAAAAGGTAAACAAAAAATGGATAATTATACTGAAGGCGCTTATTGTAAGGGTTAACGTCTCCGGATGTAGCGCAGTTCAGAAGTCCCTATACGCGCCGTCTTTTTCTTTACGTTAGATGCTTGGTTCTTCATCATATGTTTTCGAATTCCTGGGGCCATCTTGTGCCCACATTATAATACGCTTTATGTAAATATCCGAATACGAACTGCACTAAAGAACGAGTGTTCAAATCTTGATTTTTTTTTTGCTTCAATTCAAGTTATGGGAGCATTCAATACACGATTATCATACCAGGGAAACTTTTCTCAGCAATTGTTGGTCTTTAAAGAGGCTATAGAGAGGCACACAAATACTTGGAAGCATTTATCAAGTACTTTAACAAAAAAAAAGTTATCTGCCCTTCACATATTTGAATTTAGAGCTGGCTAAATGATAAACCGATCCAGGAATATTTTCACAACACAAAAATACAGGTTCCTTGTTTTCGGAAAAGGGACACACTGAATGGTGCAATGCGTATATGAAGTAACTCGCCATAGCGAGTGCTCTAGCCAACCCGCTCTACTCCTGCAAACGTCGGGTCAGGGACACCAGCATTCACTTGGGGCACACTCAGCATCAACGGCAAAGCATTCTGTTCAAGTGTTTTGTCTACTTGTGTATGCAACCCAGTGTTTTGTTCATTTGTGTATGCGCCATTCTAGGTTGTTTGCACGGGTCCAGCTCACTATAAATAAATATATATATATATATATATATATATATATATATATATATATTATTTCTTGCTGTTGAGAACGAGGATTCTTTTGCGTATATTTTTTATTTTATGCAGTTGTTGAGCGTTTGCATTTATTGACATCTGATGTTTTGAATATTCAATTCCACACATGTTAGCACCAATGAAACATGAACAATTATTTTTTTAATCTAGAGTGAACACTATGTACAGGCTGTCACAAAAAAAAAACAATTTACAGGATTGTTTTTACTGCAAAATAAAACTGGGCATCGCCGGACGCTCATTCTCCGCCCAAAGGCAGCGCTAGAGGTAACAACCAGATGCCAAAGTTTCAGCCCGATCCGATACCTTATTTGAAAGTTAAACGTGATTTTCTGAAACTTTTAATGGGAAAATGGAGTCAATTTTCGCCCGTTTTTGTTTTCTGGTGCCATAGAGCTCCATGAATTCGAAAACTCCGTCGGCTGCCATTTCCGCAATGAAATTTTCAGAAAATCACTTAGAACTTTTGATTAAGCTATCGGATAGGACTAAAACTTTGGAACCTCTTTCTAACCTCTAGCGCTACCTTTGGGCGGAGAGTGAGCGTTTGGCGAAGCCTAGTTTATTTTGAAATAAAAAGCAAAAAAAAAAAAAAAAAAACGTTCTAAACTTTTTTTTTTTTGTAACACCCTGTACTTCAGCAGCAGAGGGTTCCAATATAAATATGTTTTGAGAAAAGGGCAGCATTCCACTTGGTATTGAAAGTGTTGTAGTATACGATCTTTCATGCCATACGATTTTTAGGAGGACATAGAGCTCTCGGGGAGAGCGAAGGTGCGCTAAAGTTTCTACTCGTGCATTTGGAAAAAAGTTGGCGGTGCCGAAATGGGGGTGATATCCTTATCATCAGCATTATGGGGCGGTTAGTTTTGCGCCTGCTGCAAGAGGGGTAACATTTGTACACCTCGTGGCTTCCCATGTTATGGTATTTGCTGATTTCGTTTCTTGTGATAACATTCACCAAGCTTTTCCTAGACGCAAGTTCTGTATTACCTCTTGATATGTTTTTAGTTTCCTAATTATTGTAGTTTTCTATTTTTTTGAACCAACTATTTGTACGAATTCTTTTGTCTTACTGGCAGCACTCGATATTTTTACAAGAATGGATTTCTAATACAGATTTTAAAAAGCTGTTATCGCGAGAAACAAGCGGTTTGTGCTGGTGAGCTATACGTACCCGGGACATTACATAGAGGATAATGCTGTCTCGAAGTTCGCGAATTACCTAAAATTTGTTAAATAAAACATTGATTTCTAAAAATCAATACCAAATTGTATTGACCAACTTGCAGAGCGTCATCAAAAACTATTAAATTAGTCAATATTAGAAATCATTGTAGCGCATGGGAAGCGCGGCAGCGCGCTAAGTTACCACCTGTGGGAGACACGCAAGGCTATATGTTCAAAAACGCTCCCGCAAGGTTTTTTATATGTCTATTAGTCCCAGTTTCGCTTGGTTTAATTAGCGCTGGTTTCACGAGTGCTAAGTTTAGCGCACTACCGTAGTTTCAACGCGATCCGAATATTTTTTTTAAAACATGACATGTTTTTAACGCTATCCCACAATCCATCAATTTTGACCGTCCATTCAAGCATTTTGCGCTTATTTTATCGGGAAATATGGCGTTACGTGACTTATACACCTTGGCGAAATGGACGGCACGTGACCAATATATCGTTTCAATTATCCGTTAAATTTAGTGGGAAAATTCGCGTCTTGTGACCCATACACCAATGCTGATTATCGGCTATATTTTGTGGGGGAAATCGGCGACACGTGACTTGAGGTCCCGTGACATTTACAGCCATACATTTTTCCCGATTAATTTTTTGGCAAGATATACGTTACGTGACACAGCAATTTTCTGAGCAATTATTTATAAATTTCGTGCACAACAGAACTTTAAATGTGAATGTCGTTGGCAATTCGTTTTTTTTAATTGCTGACTTTATTGTTTTCGATGGCGCTCAGAAAATTTACACAATGAACCTTATGGTTATATTCGCGAATTAAAAACATAGTTAACAAATTTTATTTCATTATCACACTTTTAGACGCGTCTATCCCTCCATATTATGTCCCCCTCTCCGCCAAGCCCACATGCACAAACAGTATTAATCTCAATTTAGTGTTTTTTTTTAAACATATCTTTAATGACTAGAAGAGTACTTTTATAGTTTCGATTTTCATTGTCGCTTTTCACATTGTGGCCTATTTCACGAATTTATCGAGTTCAAGTTTTCTTGACTGTGATGTTGCTGAACTATCACAACATTAAACTATGTATTTTTCTGTTTGTTATCGATTTTCTTCTTTACAGGCAGAAAGACCAAAGCTGCTTTGCAAAGACGGCAAGAATGCAACTCTAGGAGGAAGATTACAGAAAGTTCATACGGAGTACCACTCAGTTACGTATAACGTGCTTTGCACAATAGAAGCAAAACAATAAATATTAATTATCACAGCATAACTGCGAGCCTCTGTTCAGTCAATCGAGAATGTCCCCAATATGCATGGACAAGATATCGGGACAAGGCGGCCTAGTTTCAGGTTTTTACGCTTTTACGCCTCGTGCCATAGCACCGATATCGGGCTGCCGCCGTTTGTGAGAAAATGGTGCATCATGGGTCAGTTGGAACAAGGGGGGGGGGGGAGGTAGTGCTCGCTGAGTGTGAAGAGCTATGACCTGTTTGCGAGTCTAGCAGTTTATATTGTCACGAATGACAAGTGGTGAGGCGGCCAATAACTGAGTAAACTAAACGTTGAATCGGGCGAACTTGTGCCGAGAAATAAAGAAGGAAACAGAAGATAACAGTAGAGCGTCGCGGGCGTCGAAATCGGCGTGAGAGCAGAGTGAACGCTTGGGCGAGACTGACTCCGGCTTCCCACGCGGAGCCCCTTTTGTACACGCGTTGGCTTCTGGAGCATTCGGCGTGGAAGGCTCGGCGCGCAGAACGTTCTAACCTAGAATTAGCCCCCCCCCCCCCCCCCCCCCCCCCCCCCAGCACGACTGGAGAGGCCTACGGACTGCTTGAAGGCCCACGGACCGCTTGAAGGCCAAAAATAAGGAAGGAAACAGAAGATAACAGTAGAGCGTCGCGGGCGTTTACCAGAGCATCACATTACAGCCTCAACAAAAAAGTGTAGCCGCGGCCAGGAATCGAAACCTGGCCTTCTGCGTAGAAGGCAAGCTCGAAACTCGTTAGGGCACGGGAGCGCTGCCTACTTGGTCAGCTGCGCTCGCGGCAATATTGTTTGCACCAAGACACTGAAAGTGTGAATATTGTTTTTATTTACCCTCCCCTCCCGCCCCCCCCCCCAGACCCTCAATCCCCTTTCGTCCAAAAAATAATAATAATCTAATTTTGATTTCATTTTCGTAAGTTAGCCATATGTGGCATTCATATTTTATAATGACTACGTCACTCGGCTATATTTGAACCCTCCATATATACACGTCTGAATTGCCTGTGCTCTGTTAGCGCCGTTCTAATTAGCGCCATGCTGGCTCATTCGGGGAAAGACTCACTAAGTGCAAGTCGTTTTAATAAATACCTCATTAAATATATATGCAAAGCATTGAGAAACCACCTTTTCTGAGTCACCTGCGCTATCTACAAGACCAGTAATCCCAGGTCATTTAGTAAGAATGCACTCAGGTGATTTAGTTTTGATATTTTAATAAACACATTTTTAAATTGTCAGAGTGCACACGGCTTTGGGTGTACTCAGAAATGTTTAGTCAAGGATTTTGCTTCTAGAAAACACTCGAAACAAAAATACTGAATCATTCTTGTTTACTTTATATGAACACCGAAAATACTGCCCTTTACTGACCCATTGCTGTAGGGTGTTCTCGGGTAGCAGCGCAATCAAAAATAAACTTTCACAACGACTTAAAAACCAAAAAGAAACAATGAAACACATTTACAATTATATGTAACGCCGAATTAGAGTGCAGCTTTTAAGGAGGAGGAGGGGAGGGTGCGAAGGGGGAGCGTCTCACGTGACGTCACGAGGGTAACAGTTTCCCGCTCAATTTGGCACGAACGTTTAGCGAAAAACGATTCCCGCTAAATTTATCAGATAAATGGTTCCGGGTTGAGTGGCGTCACGTGTGACGACATGAGGACAAAATTGTTTTGCCTAACTTTAGGGATAAATTTTTCCGCCAACTTTAGCGGGGAAATTTTGCCTTGGTGACGTCCCTCGTGACGTCACGTGTGACGTTATTATATGAAACGTTTTATAATGCAACGCGCGATTGGGCCGATGGCCACGCCGCTTAAGCAGAAGCGGGAGCCTAAGAGCTGTGGTCTAAAAGAAATTACTGCAGTTACATTTATTACTGCAGGAAGCTGATGTCTGTTCACGTCAAAGTGTCAATTTGTTTGCGTCGTTAGACTCGTTACGGCCTACGAGTATATTTTCTAAACCTTTTTTATATATTCGGTAATCAAACAAAGGGGGCTGTTGACGCCCTTTGGCATGATTTTCTTTGTTAGAGGGTAAAAGCTGGTTCACAATGTTGCAACCGACTATGACCGAGTGCGACAAAACGTGTTTTAAGCCTCTTGTAACAGCTTTTGAACGTGTTGCCCAGCATCAATGGCAGTCGTAAACGCCCTAAAACCTCTTTTTGGTGGACTCGGTCGTAAACGGTTGCAACAGTGTGAACCAGCCGTAACTGGCCGCAGGCTCACTGCAGGGTTTAAAGACTATTTTCACAAGAATTCGTACTGTGTCCACACGAGTATCTAGATAAATCAGTCGATCAAACCGCAAAATGATACTTCAATCGATTTTTATTTTATTTCAAAATATCCAGGCAGTCCCGTTTCGCGATGGTTCCGGCCTATGAAAAAGCAACACTTACATGCAAAAAGTATTCATCGGCTACCTCGTTCACGTGTACATGTGGATGGGCTCATGGGCCATATGGCGGGAGGCTTGCATGTGTGTGAAGATGAATTATGTTGGAACGTTACTTTATAAGCTGTCGCAGCGGACAGTGATCCCTACTGTGCGGGAGGTAGTCAGTAGCAGTTTTTCACTCCGCGGTGGCTTAACGGTATATCAAAACTCTTTGTACAGGGTGAATATACGCCAGTGAACGCGCACAAATAATTACCAATACAAACAAACTGCAAATATTCAGCACCGTGATTACTGTTATGTTGGTATGATTAACGTTAAATATTAATAAAACAGGTTAAGAAACACCTGATTGTAGAGTTGAGAATGTATAATTCTTACTTGTGTAGCACGCGTACATCTGACCTCTTGAACGTCTGTTTGCTATTGGACGTTCTGAGCATAGACAAATGGCCATATCTGCACATTTGTTTCAAATATTTCGAAAGTGCATATGCCCAACCACGTGTCACAAGACATTTTACATCTTTTACTGTACCCTAGTGAAAACTATAAATTTTTGTTTGCACAAATAACGTCTATCATAACAAATGTTTATTAATATTATGTTATTAGCTATAGTAGTAATATTGCGATCACACGCACTATTTCTGTTGGTAGTAGTGATGGTTTATACTGCCAATATATATTATTTACAAGGTCGGTGCTGTACACTCTAAAAAAAAAGTTGGCCTCAAGAGACTAACGGCAGCATTTGGTCCTCTGAACTCCCAGTTGCTGCCCAAAAGGACCATCTGGTTCAAGCTAGGTACCGTGCGGAAAGGCTGGGGAATAACTGTACTCAACTGGGACTAACGGATAGGTGTTCGCGAGCAAAAGCATCCATTAGTCCCCCTCAGACAGGGTGCATCTGCATGATTTAGTCCTCGAAGGCAAACGGAATGTTCGCCAGGAGTGCGGATGTTATTTCGCTTGTTCCGGGGATCGACGGGACTCAGCCCAGCACGGCTGAAAGTGTTGACGAAGTTTGGACGAAACTGGCGAATATGTTTAATGTGTCCCGAACATTAAGACATTACATGATAGAGCTTCGCGCGTTGTGTAAATGCGAGTTAACAAATGCGTTGACTCGACTTCACCTATCTCGTCAAAAATGACGTGTTTACATTTGACAAGTCCCATTAACGTAATTAGCCTTCGCGCAAACGATTAGCAATTATCCAAACGGAACACCTCCAAATACTAACACTTTTTTTCTCTTAAATAAAACTTAACAATTCGTAGAAGCCGCGCTTTCTACACCGGAGTCTCGCAGTCAAAATAAATGGTCATTTCGATCGCTAAAACCGAGTTACTGAGAGCAAGTCGAGCGTCGTCTCTGCGTCTCCCCGTGACAAACCTTTCTGGGTAGTCCAATGTCGAACTTAAAATCCGCAACGAAATACTTGATGCACGGCACGTTCCTCTTAAAAAGCACATTCAGGGGCTGTATCCAGACGCCTTCATGCCATCGTCGTAGCTGTTTCAGATAACATTCTAGATGAACAACCAAGAACGACCGCACCTTGAACGTCGTTCATGGCAACACCCTGCTAAAGCCGAACAAATGCAAACTGAAAAAAAAAGGCACCCGAGAATATTGAAAATACTCAAGAGAGAGAGAGAGAAAAAGAAACGTGTTCGCTTGTACGTCATTCGACAGGCGTGTTGAAAATGGCGATCTTCTACCGGTCCTTGGGGTAATGCTGTGTCCGTGTGTTGTGTGAAGTGGGAGGGGGAAAAGAGATTTTCGTGCGTGCCCTTCCCCCTCCCACCAACCCCCTACCCCACATTCTTTCTTGTAATCTTAGCTCACGCGCGGGGTTGGGCAAATGGGGCAGAGAGGGTCCGTCGGGAAAATGAGAAGGAGTCTTTGTTTAAAGAGAAACTTTTTTTAGTAAATTGAAAGTTGAAATACAGCTCTCGTCGGAAGATAGTCGTCGTTTTTTCTCCTTGTGTCGTCTCCGATCATATCAGGATCCGGTTTAGATTCGCGGTGCTGCAGCACTGCACTCGATCTGTTCTGAAGTCACAAGTCAAGGGACCACGATTAAGGTATGTCGAAGTTCGAAGTACTTCTGTTTATGGTGTATTCATTTACTGCGGTTTCAGAAAGTGTTTTATTTTGAGCGCGTTCTCTAGCTTGCAAAGCGCGCGCCATGCTCTATTTTTTTTTTGGCACCATGGTTGCTGATTTTGTTATACACCACAGAGACCTCATATTCAATCGTATCGAGCGAAACGCCAGTTCTACCGATGGCTTCTATTTTTTTTTTTGTGCTTTCCAAACCCTGGCATGATCACTTGACCATAAAAGCCTGTCCACACATGCAGCGGACCGCTACAAGCATAGCGCTGACCTTGCGCTAAGCGCGTGCAGACGGGAGCGATCACCAGCTTTGTATCGCGCCGTCAAAACTCTTTCTCATCGCAGACAAAAAGTAACTCACGACACGTGAGCAGCGCAGCATCAGCGCTTCGCTGCGTTCGAGAACCGGCCTTAATGGAGACATTTATTCAATTGTATTGTACAGACTTTCGCG